CATAAGGACATGTAACATTGGATTTAGGTTCCACCTGGATAAACTAGGATGACCTCATCTCAAAATTCTACATTGAACCATATCCACAAAACTCCTTTTTCCAAATAGAGCCACATTCATGGGTTCTGGATGTTATGGCATGACTTATCTTTCGTGGGACAAGGGTGGGAGGTAGTGGGGGGCCAGCATTCTACCCAATATAGGATGTCACAATGATTGCCTTTTATGATTAAAATGCTCTATTGCCCAGTAACTGAGACAGGCACATTAATCAACAACTACAAAATCAAACCATATTTAATCTTTGGGTTCTCCTTCAGATAATGCATAGACTTTGAAAGCAGCACAGGTGCCCTCACTATACAGACCTAGAGGTAACTTTGTATAGAGCTATAAGATGCCATTAAAATATTTACAATTATTATTAATACATTGAAATAGGATAAATAGTGTAGAAGCAAGATTACAATTATCTGATTACCACCTGGGGAGGAAAAAACAACAAATTGGCACCAAAGAAAAACTGGAAAGAAAAATGCAAGAAAAAAAAAAAAAAGAAAGAAAAAGAAAGACACAGCTAAGAGTTAGCAGTGGTATGTATATATTTTCATTAAATTTTGTGTGGTGCAGGTCACGCACTACACATTAAAAAGGATAAATTTTTGTTTTTCTACTTTTTCTATATTCTACATTTTAAAAAACAATGTTTCTTTATAGATAGATAGATACACACATTTAAAAGAAAATTTCAAAAGGCACATAAAAATCATAAAGTTGTTTTTTTATTTAAGTAAATTAAATTTAAATTTAAATTTAAATTTAAAAAAAGACAATGAAAAGCTGCTAAGTCAGGTTGAGACGTTTTGACACTGGAGTTAGGAACGCTACAGCAATCTATTACTATAGGAAGCACCCTCCTATGTAGGTGTGTGTTTGTATAAATCACTCCAGCTCTTTTCCTTTCTCCTGCAGTTAATATATTTTCTTTCAGCAAATATTGTTTGCTGTGCATTACCAGCAATTTGGCTCTTAACATTTGTTAGCATTTTTATTCAGCTAATACTTTCAGTTACACTCAGCAAATGTCACTTTTATTCGCATCATATTTGCCAGGAATGTTTTCTCCTGTTAGCATTTGTTTCTCCCTTTAAGATTTTTATTTGCTAGGTATTTTTATCCTCTAAGACTGTCAGCTTTGGCTAATATTACAAGAAATTCTGATCATTTGCTGGAATGAGCTCTGAGTTAGTGGGTGCTTCCCAGATGAACTATCTATCTGAGGCCTCACTCTTTATCATCTTGAAAAGGGAGGTACTAAAGGTTTTGTGAAGACAGGTGAGCCAAATGCAGGAAGTACCTGCAGTGGGGGAATTCAAGCATACATTTAGGTAATTCCAGTAAAGGATGGAAGAACTAGGAATCCTAGAGAAACAGATGTCATTCAGCTTGTTATAAAACATATTTATATCACAGAAACATTGCATTTTAGTGCGAATCAGGACAAATCTTGGGTCATCTAGCTCAGCTTCCCTCCTTTCTATAATATTCCTGATAAAAGAACAATCTACCTCTACCTCTACTTGGAAACTTCCGGTTGGCAGATATCTTTTTCCTTCCCAATAACACTCATTTCACTGCTGAACATCACTGATAGCCTGCAAATTGTCCCTAAAGTGCATGTCATATTTAGCCATGGTTTAGTGCTGTCACATAAGGTAAGTACAGGCTGTACACTGAGCTGCCCCATAGATAACAACATGCATGCCACTCTCTGAAGTTGTGCAGTGTCACAGCCTTACTTTGGCCTATGACACCTTCCACGTTGGTGAAATCCTTTCTTTTCTTCCTTTTTCTCTTCCCCTTCTTCCTTTTCCCTTTCTGCTAATGCTACTTGATCTCTTCAGAGAGTATGGCCTATGGCCTTAAATATTGCATGTGGTTATTTTATCTCTGCTTTTTTTTTTTCCTGGAAAAAAGTGACTCAGTGGATCTCATCTTGATAATCCACATTTTTGATGTTTGCTTTGAGACTCCAGAAAAAGTGACAACATTGTTTTAGGATGACTCTTACTGACTCATGATTAAGAAATCCCTCAATACACACACACACACACACACACACACACACACACACACACACACACACTGAGCAGGGATTTGTTATAACCACTAGCTAAAAGTGAAAAAAAAGTTTGAGGGAACAAATCAAAAACATCTAATTTATGCCATCCAGGTTTAGGTTCTCCTTTTAAAACATTTGTTCATTTTGTCTCACAACAAACCTATGTAATAAAACTGTTTAGCTACAGGTCTGCCCTGGAGTCACACAGAATAGTTCCCTCTGGCATCTAGCCATGCTTCTCTGTCACTAGGCTCTTGTACACACCATTCCCTCTGCTGAATCCCTTACTCTGATTCTCCCTATTCCTTCCTCTCTTCATTCTCTTTTGCCTAGCAAACTCCAATTTATCATTCAGGTCCTAGAGTAGATGTGCCCAATCCCTTAATCTTCTGTGTCTGGGCTAAGCTCAGTCCCTGTTTGCTCCCAAATACTTTGCATACCCTACATTTTATCAACGAAAACTGTACCATGATCACCTGTGCACTACTCTATATCCTGTACTGGACTCTAACTACCATGAGAACCAGGACTATGTAAAGGAGAGCATAGTCTAGTGTAGTAGAGTGTAGTAAGCCCATAGACTCAGGGCTTTGCTTCCTGGCTTTACCACTTACTGGCTGAGTGACTTCAGACAAGTGATTTAAATGCTTCAGTTTGTTCATTTGCAAAATGAGAATGAAATAATGCATATTTTCTACAATTGTTTTGAAAGAGAACACAGGAAAAGCACCTATGAAAGTGCATGACATTCAGTGTTACTCATTTTTATTAGCTTTATTCATGAGTGTGCTCTTATTGCTGGCACATAGAAGAGGCTCAAAATTCTCTGTAGACGCAGGATGAGCCCAAATGTCACCTCTTCAAAGCTGTCCCAGATACCCCATATGGAAGAGCCTTCCTTCAAACCCTACGGCCCCTTGTCTCTCTCTGTTTAATCGCATTCCTGTCTTCTGTATTATATGCACTGAGTGGATTCTACATGTCTTTTTTCTCCTGTTAAACCAAAGCTCCTAGATGACAAGCTCCATATTCATCTCTCTAGTCACTTCGCTTTGAAACAATTGTTGGATGAATTAACAACTTAAGAAATGGATCAATGAACGAAAATCAAAGGAAGCCCATGAAGACAGGCTGGGAAGGAAGGTTGGGACTAAAAACAAGGCTGGACTTTGGATGTTAGACTAAAAACTTTGGATGGAGACTGAAGAAAGAGGATAATTTGCCCACCTAAAGTCAGCAACACTGAAAAGTGGGTGTTTCCCACTGCTGAGTAATCTGTCAAGCTTTGCGACACACAGGGAGCATCCCATGTCACAAACCAAAAGTTTCACACAGGTGAAACCACAGAGTGAAAGTCTTAATTTCCTGAATCACTTACTTTATGTCCAGAAAGCAGAAGAACCACTGTGAGCTTTTCACATGGCCCTTGGTATAAGGCCCGCACAGCTCATGACTGATGAAGAAGAAAGAATTCTACTATGAGACATTACTGAATTATAATACCCAGGGCTGATGATTTCTAGTGCAACCTATTGAGCTAGGAGTGTGAGAGGTAGAGATGATGATCACCTTCTATCAATTGTTAAAAAGATGACCTTGTAGCATATGGGAAATCCAAGTCCAGAGAGAACACAGAAATAGAACTTTACAACAACAACAACAAAAATTGTCTTCATGAAGTAAAAGTGAATATTTCTTGGAGAGTTTCCTGATATATGTGCTGAGAATAAAAAATTTAACAAGTTGGTTTTTCTAAAAAGAGTACCACTGATCAAATAAGTTTGGGTAAACACACATGCTATAGGCTTTTTTTTTTTTTAGATTTATGATGCACATCACAAAATTAATTGTTCTGGAAAGTCTAAAAGTGACAAAAATTTAAATTCACTTGGACCCGGAGAGATAGCGACTTACCCGTAATCACCCTTGTTGATAAAAAGACTGAACCCACTCTACTTTTAAATTTTCAATAAAATTGCTATGCCTTTTTTTTTATGACTATAGAATATCTTGGTGAAATAGGATTGTGGAAAAACAAAGGCGAAGAAGCTGACAGATATACCTCTAGCTACACTTTCCTACTGACACTTACCATGTAAGAGCCAATCTATTAATTGTATTAAAGGCCTGAGTTCCAGCATACAGGCCAGAATGGCACTTGAATATACATTTTACATGTTCACCTCTCTATTTCATGATGGTTCTGGTTTATATACTCCTGTGTTTAGAAAGGAAGCTCAGTTTTCATATCTCCTCTCCTCCCTCACCTCCACCACTGAGCTATATTCCCAAAATTTTCAGCTGGTTGTAAATATCCCCAGCGAACTTCACCCAGAAAACTCAAATGCTTTCTCTCACTTTCATTTGCCTTGGCCTTTCTGCAACATACTTATGGCTCTCCTCTTCTCCTTTTTGCTCACTCATTCCTTATTTACTCTCTATTCCCAGGACAGATAGCTGAAATAAAGTGAAATTTGATCTAAACTACAGAACAACTGTCAGGAACATTCTTTTGCTGAACTAGTAATTTCAATGAAAAATCTTTCTTTTTTCTTTTCTTATGGATGAAAAAAGCTGTGGGACTGAGACTCAAGAAACCTGGAATTCAAGGCTAAGCCCAGCTGCTAAGCAGCAACATGATCTTAGACCAAAAATAGCCCTTGGCCTTCTGCTTCATCACCTATGAAACGAAGGAGACAGACTAAATGATCCCTAAAAGTCTTTCAGTTTCAGGCATCCTCTAATATTCCTGAATGCTCAAGGAATGAGTCTATGCTCTACTCATGTGACTTTGGTCAAATTATTTTACCATTCTGAGTTTCAGCTCAGAGGCTCATCTATGTAATAATGTTATATTAAGGGAAAAAAGAAAACCTACCTTAATATGGAGAGCATATTGTTTAACTGCAGATTAGAAGGCCAGAAGGCCACCACTTCTTGGCCACGTTACGTTAAGAAAATGCCTTAACCTTTCTGTGCTTCAGTTTCCTCATCTGAAAAAGAAAAGATATAGTAATAGTTCATGTCTCATTGAGTTTTGAGAATTAAATAAGTTAATACACAGAAAGCTCTGAGGAGAGGATTTGTTACATAATGAGTGCTATGTATTGGGTTGTTGGAAAAGTCATGATGCATTTTTGCAACGAAAAACAGAAAAAATACGTCATGACTTTTCCGACAACCCAAAATGTTGCTACACTGGGTCTTGAAATTAGTTGAAAATAAAGTATTTAAATACTGTTGTTCCATTTTTATTTAATTATGTGTCATTAGTAATTTGTTCACTGCTTTTGAAGGTTTGATTCATTGCAAGGAAAACAAAATATCTGCCACTGATGGTTTTAGTTATGGATTCATACTCTAATCATAATATTTAAATCTTTTAAATATTATTTCACTTTTGCTTACATTAGCAAAAATTTGGAAAAAAACCTTTTGATTGGGAAAGTCATCATATGTATAAACTCAGATCTTTAATTGTGCAATTCTTTGTTTTAATTGAGATATATAGTAAGGAAAATAAATTTGTGTACAAATTTTTATTGTAAACATAGGTTTTCATTTCTCTGGGATACATGCCCAGGAGTGCAATTGCTGGGTCACACAGTAATTGCATTTTTAGTTCTCAAGAAACTGCCAAATTATTTCCCAGATTGACTGTATAATTTTTATTCCCATCAGCAATCTATTAGTGACCCAGTGTTATGGACTAAATTGTGTCCAGTCGAAAATGTATATCTTCAAGCTATAACCCCTAATGTGACTATGTTTGGAAATAGGGGCTTTAGGAAGGTAATAAAGATTAAGTAAGGTTATAAGGGTAGGGCCCTAACCCAATAGGACTAGTGTCTTTATAAGAGGAGACCTCTTAATCTCAATCTCTCCATGTCTCTCTCTGTCTCTCTTCACATACACGGAGAAAATACATTGTAAGAACGCAGCAAGAAGGTAGCTTTCTACAAGCTAGAAAGGTCTCACTAAAAAACAAACCTGATAGCACTTTTATCTTAGACTTGTAGCCTCCATCCAGACTGTGAGAAAATACATTCTACTTGTTTAAGTCCACCAGTCTGTGACATTTTATGATAGCCCTAGCAAATGTATATATCATTTCTCTACATATTCTCCAGCATTTCACATTGTCACTATTTTTTATTTTAGCTATTCTGATGAGTGTGTAGTGATATTGCATCATACTTTTAATTTACATTTCCCTAAGGATTAATAATATTGATCATATTTTCACATGTTTATTTGCATTCTGTATATATTCTTTGATGAAATATCTCTTCATAGCTTTTGTCCATTCTATGATGGGTTTGTATTTTTTAATTGTTGAGTCTTGAGAGTTCATCATATATTTTAGATATGTCAAATATGTGGTTTACAAATACTTCTTCTTACTCCATAGCTTATATGCTCAAAATCTTAAGAGGGTTCTCTAAAGAACGTTTTTAATCTTGATAAAGTTCAACCAATCAATTTTTTTATTTCATGGATCATGCTTTTAGTGTCAAATCTAAGAATTCTGTGCCTCCTGTTAGCTCCCAAAGACTTTCTCCTATGTTTTTGCTAAAGTTTTATAGTTCTTGGTTTTACATTTAAGTCTATGATTCATTTTAAGCTAATACGTAGTTGTATACGATGTAAGACTTAGGTTGAGATTCATCAAGGAATATATAGGACTTGTTCCTGGTTCCTGGCATGTGGGCAACTAGAGTGGACTTTCTGGATCTCTACATGGTCTCCACAGACACCACAACAGGGGCTGCCCTGTTACCACTGAGTGATGGTGAAAATCCTTACTCTCCACTAGGCTTCTTCTAACACAACTCTGTGGGGAGGGAGAAGGCACCTGATTACTGCTGGGTGGTGATAGAAGTCGTTTCCTTACATGATCTCCCCAACACCTGTTTCTGATCCTTTGGCTAAAGAGAGGCTTTGTCATGCTTAGCTAGAAGAATAAGAAAATTCAGTCAATTCAATCATCCCAGGATTGGAAGTTTCTGCAAATCTGTTGTAAGTGGGATATAATTAACATTCCATCGAGTACTCAACATCTGGACACAATTCATTGGATTATGGAATCTTTCTTTTCTGGACTCTTGGTGGAGGGCAGAGCCTCACCTGTGGCTTACAGTATCTGAAAGCCAGGGCCTGGGCGTGTGACTTAGTCCTGGACATTGTGATGCCACCATGTAGATTTTCATTTTGGAGTAAATGGCACACAGAAGAAAAGATAATTGAGAAGTTATTTTACTGTTAGTGGAATTGTGGGTTCAGTGGTTAACAGTGCCAGTTCTGGCACTCAGTGTCCAATGGAAGCTGCAGTGGCATCCTAATTAAGCCATTCTAATAATGTAACTTTAGTTGGTGTTCTGGCAATCTACTTGGTCTTTGACATTTTGTCTCTTTCCCTTAGATTTTATGATCTTCATCATAGCTTTCCAATTAATTCCGTTTCTGTTTCAGTTAACCAGAGACAGTTTCTGTTGTTTGCAACCAGAGCCAAGGCAAATACAACAGGGACTGTGAATGTCCCTAGAGGAAAACCATTTGTAATGATTGCAGATTAGGCTCATTTCCTTTCAAAATTCTAGTTTGAGGCTGAAATGCTATTAATGTAAGAAGAGCTAAACAGTAAGAGTATATTGTAGCCAAAGAGAACTCTATTTCCTGTTTAGAAATAGGAGATGCTGAGGGATTAAAACAAAAGAGAGAGAGCAAGAGAGCTCAGATGAAACAGAGAAGCAACACTTCCAGCACTTGACAACCCTTTTAATTTAACCTTTGCTGTTTTCTAGAACAAATAATATGTATTCTGCACAGAGGAGTCTCTCTTGGCACCCTCAGCTACTATTTCAATACATGAAAAAAATGGTACAGGAAATGATTTAAGAATAACTTTTTCCTGCTCAAAATGTGTATACTTGCAAAAAGCAACCATGCAGAGAAATATGATCATGGTGACTTTTACAAGCTATTTACCTGCAGTAGTAACTCCTAAATGACTCTAAAATACTCAAGAAAGTGTAGAAATTCAACATTAGCTAAACATCAAGACTGCTGTGTGCTCCAAGTCTAGCCTCCAACTAAAAGTAAATCAGTAGATATCCTTGGGAGCCCAGGACACATGATGGGCTCAGAACATGAAACAGAATGCCACAGCACAGCTAGAAACCAAGTGGTTCTTTTACAGGCAAATTCCTTTGAGCAAAAAAATCTAGGACTGATTAAAATGTTTCCCCAGTTCAAAGACAAGCTAGACAGATGGCGCTGCATGCTGTAGATATGGACGACTCATCAGAACCATCACCTCATTTACTTGGGAGCATTAATCCAATATAGAAAAACTTGACTTCATTCCTCACTGTGATTTGCTATGCTTATCTGGTAGGCAAATGTTGTTTGAGTTAAAGTTGCTTCACAACCAGAAGATTTATTTTAAATGCCCTTCCAGAGAAGGAAACTTTTAACATTCCCATGTTTAGATAAATAAAAATGATTTCTAATGCATTTTTAACTCCTTGACATGTGTTTGCATCTATTATATCATTCCTGCCTCAAAATAACCTGGGACATCTTTAAGGAAGGTAATGTATTTACTAATGTGCCTACAGTATACTAGGTAACATATATCTTATGTAATTTCATCCTCACTCCAATCTTTTGATTTAACATTTTTAATTTATAAATGAAGATTGAGAGAGGATAATTCATTATGCTAGTTCAATCAGATCGGGATCTAGACCTCAGGTTACCTGGCTGCCAAGTCTACGAAACTTTTGTCAAACTCTCTTGTGGCACTAGTCAGTCTACCTAATAGAAAAATAAAGTCATGTGACAAAGAGCAAAGACGCAAGCCCCATGATTTTCTGTGATCCCATTTGAAAACTGATTTTGCCTCTGAGTGGAAATCTGTGGGAAACAGTTACCATCAATAGAACAAGCATTTGGACTGAGGAAATAAAGAAACAAAGTCTGAGTGATAATGATAATGGAAGGGTAGATATTACCTGGTGGGTACTAGAACTCCCAATAAGGAAGGTGAGGTAAGGACAAGGCCAATCAGGCTATGTGGGTTTTCACTGGGAACCCCAAAGTGAGAAAAGACTCCAGGACCACATTTATAAATGCCCTTGCTTAGTGACCTTGTGCAAGTTATTTAGTTTTTCTAGGTGTCAATTTCCATGTCTATAAACACTTCTTAAAATTAACTCACTCATTTAGTCGGAGGTACAGGAGAAGTTGAGAGGGCTAGGAGGCCTGGTAATTAAGAAGTGTGGGTGATTGCAAGAACTGACAAGAATGTGAAATCTCTGAAGCTTTCTCACCTCTCCTCTTGGAGCCTATTTCTTCCCATGTAATATTCCTTTTTTCTCTCTTTTTCTAGGTGTCTACACTGTTCCTCATTCTTGCTAATCCCAGTCATGGATTATAGATGTATAGCCCACCTCACCATAATATTTTCTGGGACTACACCAGGATTATAAAATTTAGGAGAATTGGGTAATGATAGATAAGTTATTTGTCTATGTGAGCTTGAATTACAAACCTTATCAAAGATATCTGGGTTTTGTATCAAGTTACCCCTGCTGAACAATAAGACTAGAAAGAAATTAATTTGTTTATGATTACTGTTCCCGTTTTTTCTGTGCCCTGCCTCTGCTAAAACAATTCTTCAAGGGAAGACTAAAGATTTAGCCTTCTGTTGTGACCCCTACCTGAGAAACTCAGAGATATAATGAGATATAGACTTTAATTATTATATTTAAGTTTTAATCCAAGGTCATTGGGTAATACCTAAAAATTACAAAAACTGAAAAGTCTTCCCAAAAAGTGTGATAAAAGTAGATTAACTATAGCTGTATGCCTACATATATATACCCACAATATACCAAAACCTAGAAAGCCCCCCTCCGCCAAATAGCTTGATCTAGTTTGAGACATCAAAACACACACACACACACACACACACAC